GCGATATTCTTAGGGATAACCCAATCACTGTAAAAGTGATAAATAAGACATCTACATTTAAACCCTAAATGTTAGAATGTTTTCTTTTACCAAATTCACTAACTCTCATGAGTTACTTTGTTGAGATGAGATTCAATTCTGTAAACAGTTAATCTTTCCTCACAAAACCCCTCACCGATCAAATCGATCGACGAAGGGTACACCAAAATCCGTCATGGATTAAAATCATTTAAACTCCCACATTTCATTTGGTCAAACCTTACTCAGTTAGGACCAAAGCCAAAATCCCCTCTCGATTCATTTAATGAACGAGAGGCCCACAAATCGAGCGATCAAACCTTTCTACAATTTGGATCGTCTCAAAACTCCCACTTGGTTAAAACCTTACTCAGTTAGGACCACAACCAAAATCCCCTCTTGATTCCTTCCATGAACGAGAGGTCCACTTTTAGTTGAATAATCAAACCTTGTGACATTTAAGATTATTCAAACCAATCCAAATTCTCTAAGTGAAGATCCCACTTGGAGTTTTCCTTTGCACTAGGAGATAGAATATAAAATTCGTCCTCTCTGATCATCGGGTTCATCTCTACCAACAAACAAGAGACCAGGAGATAGAATATAAAATTCTTCCTCTCCAATTCTGGGTTTATCTCTACCAACAAACAAGAGACTAGGAGATAGAATATAAAATTCTTCCTCTCCAATTCCGGGTTTATCTCTACCAACAAACAAGAGACCAGGGGATAGAATATAAAATTCTTCCTCTCCAATTCTGGGTTTATCTCTACCAACAAACAAGAGACTAGGAGATAGAATATAAAATTCTTCCTCTCCGATTCCGGGTTCATCTCTACCAACAAACAAGAGATCAGGAGATAGAATATAAAATTCTTCCTCTCCATCATCGGGTTCACCTCTACCAACAAAAAAGAGACCAAAATACTCCAATAGGACACGAGTCTAAACTGTTTCCCTACCCTCAACAGGAAGTTTCTGGAGAATACTACTCAGAATATTATTAAGAATAACTTGAATACTCCAATAGGTACATGAGTCTAAACTGTTTCCCTACCCTCAACAGGAAGTTTCTGGAGAATATCACTCAAAATATTCTTAAGAATAACCTGGCTACCTCCCAACGGGTATACAAGGTTAAACTATTTCCCGAGAACTCTAAAAATACATGAGTATAAACTGTGTTCCTATGAAGACTGATATAGTGATTAACAATGCGGTATCAATTTGATGACAAAAGCTGAATTCACAAGTACAAATTCCAGCTTCAATTCAAGATCCTGACAACGGTCAAGCGATGAACGCCATACCGAAAGAATCTTAGCTATTCTACAAAGCACTGAATAGACTGAGAGACAAAGAGATCAAGTGTTGAAGCCATCATAAGTAAGACCTATCTTATCCAAAGCATCCCAGAACTCCTCTATAAAAGATTGAGTCTGGAATACTTTGGAGGGGGTATCTGTAGGCGTCAAAAAATGCTGAAAGGAATCCAAACACAGCTCAAAAGGAAGTCATCCAAAATGTCAAAAAGAACACAAGTATAGACTGTCTCGCACGCGAGACAGTCTTTACTGTCTCGCACGCGAGACAGACTTGACTGTCTCGCCGTGCGAGACAGTCTTTACTATCTCGCGGGCGAGACAGACTTTTACTATCTCGCCCACACGAGACAGTCTTTACTGTCTCGCAGGCGAGACAGACTTTTACTGTCTCGCCCACGCGAGACAGTCTTTACTGTCTCGCAGCAAACACTGTCTCGACAGCCGAGACAGCAAATGCTGTCTCGCGAGCTTGTTTTCTGCCAACTGTTCCTAGAGGTTATAAATACCCCCCGAAGGCCATTTTTTAGGGGGGCTGATCATTTGGAGCACTTCGGAGCAGACAGAGCAGAGTTCTTGAGCTTTCGGCCATTCCTTGATATTCGAGCTTTGACTTGATTTCAAGAAGAATGACTATCTTACTTTGATAAGATATCGTTTCAAATTCTCACTTCGATAAACGAAGGAAGAATCATTAAACCCCTCACGATTCAATCAGAATCTGTGATTTGGTGGTCCACGAGTCAAAGCGCTCCCGGCACAGGCAAAGATCCCACGCAAGCAGCGATCCAAACAACGATCCTGCGTTTGTTTCTCAAGAGTTGTAATTTTTCCTTTGTTGTGTAAAAGGAGTCTTATAAAAAGGCTATCTCTTTTGAATTTATTATAATCGACCGAAGATATAATGAATTCCACAGCAAAACCAACTTTTGACGCAAACACAATTAACCCTTAACAACCAATATCTAACATTAACAACGAGTCTGCAAAGCTAAAACTAATCTGTAACCTTAACATTTGTAGCGTAAACTTAACAACCAATTTGTAATCCTAACAACAAATATTCAACCTTAACAACTAGGAGATGACCTTAAAAGAAAAATAATAAAATTATAATATGAGCTGAATACTTACTTGTTGCACCTGCAAATACCAAAATGATTGAGAATTTTATCCTCCTCTTCTATCAGCTTGGTAGTAGCATCTGCCAATATTTTAAATTTATGTAAAATTGTGGGGGTACTGATCATAAAATCTAGTGATGAAATCTTTAGGAAAGAGAATCCTTGCATTTAAGTCTTTGAAAAACTTTTCTTCTTCCTCACGCATACGACAATATATAAACGTTTTCTAAATTTCAAGGGAATCACCATGTAGCTCAGCAAGCTGCAAATTACTTTTTCCCCCACATTTTGCTTTTCTTTGATTGCCTTCTTCTTCCCTTCAGTGTAAAGGGTAACTACGTGTTTTGAAGGCTTCAACATCCTTCTGGTTCTTCTTCTTTTAAGGGGTGCAAGCACCCTTATAATCCTCTTTCTCTTATTCTATTTTTTCCTTCATCCTAACACTGAGAGGGACTTCTTCATCATCTATCATATTTCCTTCATCATCAGTAAAAAAATCAACTTCTGATGGAGAGACTTTCTCTGGTGGAGGGACTTCCCTCTTAATATCAATGTCAACCATGTCAGGTGGAGGGACTTCTTCTGGTGGAGGGACTATCCTCTCAATCTCAATATCAGCCATGTCAGGTGGAGTGCCCAAGACAAAAAACAAGATTTTCAAACTATAATTAATAAAAAAAACTTTAAGCTAAATTAGCCTTAACAAACAACTATAAGTTTGACAACCAATATATAACCTTAACAGCCAATCCATATTCTTAACAACAAAGCTATAATCTTAACAAACAATCGTAAACTTCACAACCAATCTTTAACATTAAAAACCAATCCATATACTTAACAACAAAGCTATAACCTTAACAAACAACCAGAAACTTCACAACCAATCTTTAACCTTATCAACCAATCCATATACTAACAACAAAGCTATAGCCTTAACAAACAGCCGCAAACTTCACAACCAATCTTTAACATTAACAAGCAATCCATATACTTAACTATAAAGCTATAACATTAACAAACAGCGTTATAAAAAACACCCTGGGTGGCCGCCTAGGTACCTACCTAGGCGGAGACGGTGCCCAAGGCGTTTAAAAAAGCCTTGAGTGGCCACCTTTAGGCGCTGGGAGTGCCTAGGCGGCCGCCCAGTTCTAAGTGGGCTGCTTAGGCGGCCCGCCCCACAATTAAAAGAAAAAAAAAGGCTAAAACCCCCAAAGGTCCAAACCCAAAACCCAAAACCCAAACCCAAAACCCAAACAAAATAAACTATGTAACCCTAATTCTCACTCACCCGACGCCGCACGAAATTTTCATTGACCGAACTCGTCTTCAACCTCGTCCAACTCGTATTCATCCTCGTCGAAGCTCGAACTCATCTTCAACCTCATCTTCAACACAGCACAAAATTTCCATTGATCGAACTCGTCTTCAACCTCGTTGAACTCGTCTTCATCCTCGTCGAAGCTCAAACTCATCTTCAACCTCGTCTTCGATCTTCAACCTCTGAGCTTCAACGTCATCTTCGAACTCGTCGAAGCTTCGTCTTCAACCTCCGAGCTTCAACCTCATCTTTGAACTTGTCGAAGCTTCTTCTTCAACCTCCGAGCTTCATCTTCAACCTCTGAGCTCGTCTTCAACCTCTGTTCTGTTCCTCATCGAAGCTCGAAGTCGTCGAATCCTCTTGAGTCTCGAGGCCCTTCGGAGTCCGCTTCATCCCTGTAACAAGGTAACTAATTGATTTCATTTACTATAATTACCCTATATTTTAACGTGATAGCTTCCTACAGTCCTACTCATTAGTCATTAGAGATCTTCTCAGTAGATATTTTAGAAGAATAGTGCTTTATTAAATAGGACTGAAAGAGTACAGTTGATTGGTACATATGAATTGTAAAGACAAGAATAATAGAGAAAGAGAACATGGTTGGTGAATTTTGATATCTTTTGGAAATCCCATATAACATTAAAACAGCCAACATGGCTGATGCCTAATTTGTACACGTGTATACATATTTGTTGTATTTTTGTACTCAGTATGTTGTTAAAAGTGTTGATGCCTCCAGCGAAGGAGTCTACGGGTTCCACCACTATCCCCGTACCCCCCGTGAAAGATAGAAAAAACTCAGGAGACATTGGTTGGGAGTTTGGATTTTTTCCGGACCAAAAAATTTGAATATTATGCAATGCCGACTATGTGGACACAAGGTGAATGCGGGGATTCGTCGATTTAAGAAGCATCTTGCAGGGCTGAGGGGGGACACCAAACCATGTTTGCAGATTAGTGAAAAAGATAAACATAGGGTGAAAGAAGTGATTGATGCTAATTTGAAGAAGAAGCAAGCTAAGGAGAGGCACACTATAGAATTAGAAGAAGAACTTCATACGACGAGGCCGTGTGATAAAAAAAGATGAAAATGAAACCATCTCTCCTTCCATATGCGATGGATCTTCAAAGAGGTCTAGAGAGCCTACTGTTGGGCCGATAGACGCTTACGTCGCTAGTGATCCAGAGCTAGCGAAAAAGTTGAAAGGGAAAATGAAGCAGACAGGAGTAAAAGATTCTTTCCTGAAGGAGAAGAGAGATTGGGTGCATGATCAGTTAGCTACTTGGACATATGAAAATGTTATCTCCTTTTATGTCATCTCCATGGATTCCTTTCTGAAGGCATGCATGGCTATTGGAGACTATGGACCGAGCTACAGGCCCCCAGCATGTACATGTTGAGGGAGCTTCTATTGTGAAGAGCCGTTGAGAGAACAAAAGTCTCCTTAAAGACGCATGAGGAGAAGTGGGGCAAGACTGGATGTTCCATTATGACTGATGCTTGGTCGGACAGAAAGATGCGGTCGGTAATGAATCTATGCATCCACTGCAGATCGGAGACAACTTTTTATAAGTCGATTGAAACCAAAGAGAAGGCACATACATGACAATATATATTTGAGTGGGTTAATACGACTATTAAGAAGATTGGAGCTGATAAAGTCATTCAGTTGTCACGGATAATGCAGCTGCAAATATGGCCATGAAGTAGCTTTTATATAGGGTGAGGGCGAGGATTTTTTGGACTAATTGAGCAGCACACATTGTTGACCTGATGCTTGAAAGCATTAGGAAGTTGAGTTTATTCAAAGGAGCAATTGAAAAGGCGAGGACGCTCACCGTCTTTATCTATAGTTATCACAAGACTTTGTCTATGATGCATCGCATTTGTGACAAAAGGGACATTGTAAGACCTGAAGTTACTCGTTTTGCCACTAAATTTTTGACTCTACGGAGTCTTCTTGAGAAGAAAGGGAAGTTGAGATATATGTTTTCTGATGAAGAATGGGTGAGATGCAAGCTTGCAAACTCCGCTAAAGGCTCTAAGGTAGAGGTAATTTCTATGAGTGATAGTTGGTGGACGGTGGTGGCCAAGATCTTGAAGGTGTATGCTCCTATTTTTCGATTGTTAAGGGTACTCGATAGTGACTACAAACTCTCAATGGGATTTGTGGTGGGGATACTTGAAGATATAAAGAAGGAGATTATTCAAGTTTTCAAGAATAAGGAGAAGGATTTCAAGCCCGTGATTAATATTATTGATAGGAAGTCCAAGGATCAGCTTTTTTCTCCCTTGCATATGGCTTCTTACTACCTCAACCCTTACTATTTTTATAGGGATGATGTAGTGAAGAACTGCAAAAGGGTGAAAGATGGATTTCTAGATGTGGTGGAGTTGTTTTATCCTTATGTAGAGCAACAAGTTGAAATTCATACTCAAGAGTTGGAGAGATACAGAGAAGGAAAGAGTTCATTTTCTAGGATTGGAGCGGTGAAGGCTAGAGAGAAATCAGACTTGAACCCAGGTAAAATAATTTTAGAAATTGAATCATTTATGACTTATAAGTTATATATTGTGTCATTGTGGTAGTGAATCAACTAATAATATATTATTTTTTGTAGCTAATTGGTGGTATTTGCATAGTGGTGATTGTCCCTTCATGCAAAATATGGCTAACAAACTTCTTAACTTGACAAGCAACTCTTCTGGTTGTGAAAGGAATTGGAGCACATTTGAGGGGGTAAACTAATTTCTATACTTATGAAAATTATGAAATTCTTCTTAGTTATGTTTTCTAATTTGTGTCCTTTACTTTTAAAGATCCATACGAAGAAGAGGAATAGATTGAAATCGAAGAGGTTAGAGGAACTGATCTATGTGAAGTTTAACTTAAAGCTCAACCAGAAGAATAGGAGAGGAGAAAACAAGAACCTACTGCTATCTAATGATCGTAGTAAGGAACGGGCATGGATCCTAGAAGGAGCAGGCTCTAATGATGAGGAAGAAGTTTATCCGGGCTCAGGCCTTACTTGGAGGATGGTAGAGGGTATATCGAGAGCGGCGGAGAATAGGAGGAGTTCTAGGCTAGCAGGACCTTCAAGTGCTTCTACTTCAGTGATGGATGATGGAGAAGATTCTCTTATCTCAGATGATGTTGTTTCAGACGAGGAGGAGGATTGTGTGGAGATGGATTCTGGAGAGGATAGTGATGATGGAGTAAAGGAGGAACTTCATGATGATGATGATGTTTGATGATGAGATTAGATTAGATGCATATTGTTAATTCATTATATTAGATCTAGACTATTCTTATTTGACTGTCTTTTTGCTGATATTTTGGGACCTAAACTTCTAGTTATTAGATATTATATGTCTTGCCATTTAGTATGTATGCATCTTTGATTGACTATTATAGTTTGGATAGCATATGTGTTGGTATTTTTGTATTTATGCATTATTGATTAAGTATATATATATTTATCTTTAAGTTTCATAATTAAAAAATAAAAAAGAAAAAAAATGCCCAGAAACCGTTTAGGCGCCCACCTAGGTGTCTAAGTGTCGGGCGCCAAGTCCGACGCCTAGGAGCGCCCAGTATTTAATGTAACATTATTAACAAATAATCATAAACTTCACAACCAATCTTTAATCTTAACAATCAATCTATATACTTAACAACAGACCTACAGTCATGTCAACTAATTTGTAAGCTTAACAACAAAATGATATAATTCACAAGTAATAATAAACTTAGCTAACCTATACAAGTTTGTTCCTCCATCACTGTGGACACCTTCTCAGTGTTGGAAACCTCTCCTGTCCACATCACGGGCTTGTACGCTAGTTTCTTATTCTTAAGTACAATTAGACTTCTGCATTGGGCATTTCTTAGCTCCTCTTTCAGCATTGTCACTTCTATAGACAGAGAAGCCACTTCTGTAGATTGAGAAGCTATATTTTCTTGATCAGCAGCTCTCTAATCTTTATATTTTTTTTCTCCATGTCGTGACGTATTTTTTGTTTCACATCATGATCATCTTCCAAAACATCAGTTGATGAGGCAATTCTAGTTGATCAATTACCTCATCATGTTGATCAATCACTTCATCAATATTCTAGGAAATAACCTATGCAATAAAAAGATAGATTATATGTAAAAAATAATAATTAACAACAAAATGATATAATTCACAATTAATCAGTTTAGAGAATAATGCTTACCCATCTTGTAAGAGTGCTATCATCTTCTGATCCCCTTCTGATGTTTGTTTGGGGGATAGGTTGTCTTGGGCTACGTGCCCTACCGGTGTTAATCTTGTCCTTTTCCTTCTTCTCCCTCACTCTCTTTCTTCTTCTCATTCTCTTCTTCTCTTTCACCTTCTCCTACTCCTTCTCTTGAAAATCTCTCCTTCGTTCTTCAAAAATCTTATCCACTCTTTGAACTTGGGCCTATAACTCTAGAAGGTTTATAGTAGCTTGCTAAGCTTTTTCTTCAACTGTGACCAATCTTAGGGATCCCCCAACTTCTCCCAATCTCACCTAATTTGTGAGGGGAGGCCTTGACATACTTCCACATGTTAGCTTCTTAATGCTAGTGAGTTCATAGTACCATAACTACACATAAAAAATAAAAGATTATAAATCTTTCAAAAATAGCAGCAATCATAAAAGCTAAGAAATAACTTTAACAACCAATCTGTAACCTTAACAACAAATCTACAACCTTAACAACTAATCTGTAACTTTAACAACCAATATGTAACCTTAACAACAAATCTGTAACATTAGCAACTAATCTGTAATCTTAACAACTAATCTATAATTTTAACAACCAATATATAACCTTAACAACCAATCTGTATACATAATAACTAACCTGTAATCTTAAAAACTAATCCCTAGCCTTAGCACTTAAGAACTAATAAATAACCTTTACAATTAAGAATAAGCATAACATCTAGCCATTGCTCCAAATAATAAATTGTAGGAATACTTACAGACACAAGCTGGATACACTCTTGCAAATATAAAAGTTCTAGGGTTCCTCAATACCGCTTCAATTATAGCATTTGTCATGTTGAAAATATAGTTCCCCTAAGTAGTGTTCTTTGCTTGTTCGATGTTGTCAACATACTTGAACAAGTGTTTTTATATGCTATAAGAACACTGCAGGACACCAAATCATGCTCAATTGATTCAAGATCTAAAGTAGGACAAAGTCCTTTATATCTTCATGCTTATTTGATCATACAAGTTTCCTAAGTAGATCCTCAACATAGTGTCTGATAGGTGTCGAAGGAGTCTTACTGTTGCCATCCTTATTTTTGGAGAACAAAACCTTTTCCAAATCAGATTGTTTCAATCTCAGTTACGTCCAACAAAATCTTCCTCATTGGAGAATCATGTATGGTTCATAATCCATTCAAATTTAAATGATCACTCAATATTTTCTCTAGTTTTTGTATTTGTGAAGACAAATTTCTTTTTCTTCTTAACCCACTATCTCAACACGTGCTTGAAAGTGGAAAGATCAAGACCAGGAGGGCCAAAATGAATGTAGTGTCTGAAGACACTATCTTCACAGGTATCCCAATACATTTGGTCCATAAGTTGTACTAAAGAATGCATGAAATCATAGTAAGCCATGAAGCTGGATGTAGGACGAAACACTGATATAGCCTTTTGTCTACAAAGAAAAACAATAAAACATAATTCGTTTGTAAATAATTTGTAACATTAACAACTATGTTGTAAACTTGACAACGAAACTGTAACCTTAACAACAAATCTAAAAACTTAACAACCAATCCATAACCTTAATAACTAATCGATAATCTTAACAACTAATGCATAACCCTGACAACTAACAAGTCAAAAGTTAACAGTAACCTTCACAACCAATCGATAACCTAAACAACTAACATATAACCTTGACAACTAATAAGTCAAAAGTTAATAATAAACTTCACAACTAATTCATAACATTAACAACTAACAAGCCACAAGTTAACTGTAACATTCACAACTAATTCATAATATTAACAACTAACGCTTAACCTTAATGACTAACAAGTAATAAGTTAATAGTAATCTTAACAACTAACAAGCCACAAGTTAACTGCAACCTTCATAGCTAATTCATAACCTTAACAACTAACATTTAACCTTAATAACTAATGAATATCATTGATAACTAAAAGCTAACCTTCACAACTTAACTGTAACCTTCACAATTAACACATATCATGCAACATCATAAATAACTAAATTATGCAGCACATTCACATATTTTTGGTTGTATACATGCCTTCCAATTTGCTCCTATTCGTTCCTTTCTTGAGATCCACGAGTGCTTTCATGGCGTCATCGGTGCTGCCCTCTAGATCTGTTTGTTGAATTGGGCTTGTGGGTTGCACTAGGCTTGTGAAGGAGAATGACTAGCTACAACATCCTCTAGAACATCTGTGAATGTTGTGCTAGCATCAGTCAACTCTATGCTCAGACGTCTTTTTACGATGATGTACTGTGATGTGTCGGTTAGGACTTTGATTTAGGAACAGTCGGTTTTGCTTGGACAGATGATAGAGATGGACACGCTCGCCGAGGAGAGGTATTGAGAGAGTGGGAGGCGGTTAAATCAAAGGGCATTTTTGAAAAATAAAATAAAATAAAAGCCTGGGTCATGTGAGAACAGGGTTTTGGTGCTAAAACATTTGGGGTTTTGATTTTGGGGGTTTTGGGAGCTTTGAAAAAGTCTTGGGTGGGGGAATATTTCTCGTTATTTTGGAGGCTCTAAGCAATTTTCCCTTTTTTAATTGTCCAAATTACGCTTTCAACTCATTACAAGGCATTGTAATTTGTGAGGGACATTGTTGGAATTTTTTGAATCAGCGACTTGCATAGGGGTAGAACCAAAAATAGTGACCAAAAGCCAATTTTTCCCTTAAATTGTAGTAATAAATAGATAGGGTCATGCGTAAAAGAAAATCTAGGCCAATCACTTCCATCTCTAGAGAAAGTCACTTTCTACAAAAAAACCCTCCCTTTTAGTAAATTATAGGAAAAACTTTCTATAAAACGGAAATGAACCTTCGTCAAGAGTTTTCCCAAGCGTTTTCTATCAAGTAATTTGGGCGAACCAAACTGGCCCCAAGAGATACTTACAGATCAAGTCATTAGAATAATCACCAGCATAAAGCACGGCTAATCATATATGTGTTCATATAGTATTATGATATATATAAGCATATACTTATGGACCATCTTCTAAAGCAGTTTTATTCTCGAAAATAAAATGTATGCAGATGTTGAGAGCAACCCGACATCAAGTACATAGTTTCAAACTGACATCATTCGAGATCCATGAGAGCACATGTGACGAACAACATCTATAAAGGCTCCTGTAAATGAAGTAATGAGATGAGATTAGGAGTCCGGTTACCCGAGATCGGGCAAGTTCCCTGTAGAATTCAAGCTACTGATTTTAGATGACAGACATTGGAATCGAGGTCGGTCCAAATCTTGCGCTATTTCTAGATTTAGAGCCATGTTTTAAATGAATTTTCTCATTATAATCACCTATGAAACTTTGTACAGGGTAAAGCTATTTATTTAGGGGTTTGTCATCTGAAATAATCTTGGAATAATAAGTTTGTAATATTAGAAACAAAGAGTCTGTAGGAAATAAATGAGAATTGAAATTGTTACAGCAGAGAAAAAAAAAGGATCCAAGAGCTCCGACCTTAACCTACGCGGGAGGAAAAAGAAAGCCTGGAGGTTTCGAAGGAAAAGTTAGTGTGGGTTTAGTGAGAAAAAGAATTGGGATTTTGTGGTAAACAATTCAAAATTTTGGAGGGTTTTTGTGAAATTTACCTAAAATGTAACCCCTTATATCATTCAATTGGAATTATGGAGTTATGTTGACAAAGTATCCAAAAGGCGGACGTTCTATGACATTAAATGTGCACACAAAAGATGTCAATCGTTGGATCTGTGTATGAATCCCAAAATCCAATAATCCAAAGGATGACAATTATTTGGTGCACATTTAATGTTATGGATCCGAATACAGTTGATACTTTTCCGAATTATAGACAAATTAGTAGGGTACCTAGGTCAACAACGTCAAGATACATTCGAGATGATTAACTATGTTATATATTTGTGTAGAAGAAAGAGACAAACCTCCAAATTGTTCTAATTCTCCTAACATCAAAAGATCTAGATGAAGATATGAGATTGATATGAGTAGT